TAACTCTTTTAACTTAGTAATAAAATCTAACTAACTCTCTAATCCCCTACTGTTTAATAGAAAATAGAAAGACTTACCTTTTTTTCTACATAAGCTCTAATATAAACTTAAAGGAAATATAGACTAATTCCTCTTTAAACGCTTTTAGTTACTATATGCCTACTTTTAACTTAACTATAATGTAATAGCCTTAATTAACTTACTAATAGATAAAAATATTATTAACTTAGATTAATTTATAGCGTTTCTGTAAGTAACTTATAAAGACTTAAATAAAAAGTTAATAGCCCTAAGTTGCTTAAACACTTTATAATAAAAAAAAAAAAGCTTTACCTTATACTTTACTAAGTTTTACTAACTTGCATTTAATATAGGCCTAAATAAGATAGGTCTAATTATAGCTTTATATAACTCTCTCTTAACTAAACTATAACACGCTATAGTAGAAGAATCCCTTCTAAATAACCTTAACATATATGTAAACTTAATTGCTACCTATAATAATAATATAAGGTTCCTCTCTATATAAGCCCTAATACGCCTCTAAACTAGTGTAGTTGCAAATAAGAACTCTAACATAATAAAAATTAATTTAAATTATGCTTTAGTTAGTTCTAGAAAGTGTAAAGATTATAAGAAAAAAAGTTAATACTTTAAGTGTAGTAAGTATAGTTATATTTTCTAAAACTGCTTTATTCCCCTTCTTTAAGTCTACGTAAGTAGTGCTACTAGCACTTATTAAAAATTCTTACTATTTTAATCTTATTTTTATAAGGGCTTTAACTTGTATGTAAGCCTTAATCCCTTTTACTACTTTTAATGTAGCTATAGCTATAGCAGTAGAAGCTTGCAAAAAGGCTTGTTCTAGAGCTAAGTTACCCTCTAGAACTAATTTAACACTAGATCTTTGCTAACTTATAGGCTAAGTCTTCTACTAATAACTAAAAGTACTAAGTTAATATTCTTATATGTTTATAATAAAGAACTATATTAGCTTTAATATAAGCTTTTATTAACTTAGAAGTAAACAGTATAGGTTATATTAATAAAGAACTAGCACATAAACTAAATCTTTAATTAACACTACTTACCTAAATAATTTACCTAACTAGATTTAATAAAAAATAACTTAAAAAAAGTTCTATTTTCTGTACTATAACTGTTATAATTACCTACTAACACTATAAGAAGTAGATTAAGCTTTATGTAATAAACATAGGATGTTATAACCTAATTTTAGAACAACTATAGCTATATTAGCACAAGGTTGCCTTTAATTACTAAAAGTAAGTTTTAAACTTTAACTTTTTTTAATGCTAAAATGTATGCTTACGCTTACACCTAAATAACACTTAAATAGCACTTAATATAGAAGGTTTTTAGACTTACTTTCTAATAACTTAGAAAAGAACTACTTAAGTAAGGCTAATAAGCTAGGCCTTTTACTAAGATAGGCTATATAAAATAATTTAACAACTACTTAAACCTAAAAAAAAAAGCTTTTAAGAAACCTTTACCTACCTAATTTAAACATAAACTAGGACTTAAACAGTAGATAGACATCTGCTACATAGAACCTACTCTATTTATAACCCTAGCTTAATAACTAGATTATAAAATCTACGCAGTTATAATTTCTAATATAGACTAAGCTTTAGCTCCCTAAAAATATACTAACTTAAAGATAATAGTCCTTTAAGACTACTATAACTTATTATATATCTTTTTCTAAAACAAGTTTAATAAGCTTTTAATATAACATCTATATAATTACTAAATAACTTTTAAGCCTAGTAAATAACCTAGTTATAGGCTACTATATAAAATGTTGCTAAATAAAGTAAAAGTGCTTTAAAAATACTTTAATAAGAACCTAAAAAAAAAGTTTATTTAAGCTAGCTTCTTACTAGTAGTGTTACCTATACTATTTATAAAAAAACCTAAGGGTAGGCTTTAATTCTATGTTAACTACTAAGGACTAAACACTGTTACTATTAAAAACTAATATTTAATTTCTTTTTTATAAAAAACCCTAAGCTAACTAAGTAAAGTAAAGTATTTTATAAAGTTAGATATTATTACTGCCTTTAATAAGCTAAAAATAGTAAAGGGTAATAAGTAGCTAATAGTGTTCTAGACCTAATATAGACTATTTAAGTACCTAGTAATGCTTTTTAGCTTAGCTAACACGCTTAGTACTTTTTAACATTTTATAAACAACTTACTCTAACCCTACCTAGACGTGTTCTGCACTATGTATATTAATAATATTTTAATCTATAGCAATAGCCTTTTAGAGCACAAATAGCATGTACGCCTAGTGCTAAAAGCTATAGAAGAAGCAGGTCTGTAACTTAATATAGACAAATGTAAGTTCTACTAATTAAAGGTTATATATTTAGGATATGTAATTTCTATAAATAGCATCTAAATAGACCCTATTAAAGTTTAGACTGTGCTAGATTAGTAATACCTAAAGAATGTAAAAAATGTTTAAGCCTTTATAAAATTTACTAACTTTTACTAATAATTTATTAACAACTTTTTATAGTAAGTAAGCTTTATAATTACACTTACTAAAAAAGAGATTTAATTTAACTTTAACTTAAATTACTAATACTCTTTTAACTAGCTAAAAAAAGCCTTTACTAAAGCTTTAATACTCTACTACTTTAACTCTAAACTACTAATACTTATAGAAGCTAATGCCTTAGACTATATAGTAGCAGAAGTTCTCTTCTAGACTAAGCTAAATAGGACTATTAGGCCTATTACATATTTCTTAAAAAGAATAAGTCCTATAGAAGGTAATTATAAAATCTATAATAAAAAATTACTTACTATAGTATGCTGCTTTAAATAATAGTAACCTAAACTAGAAGGTGTAGCGCATCTAATATAGGTCTTATTTAACTATAAGAACTTGTAGTACTTTGCAACTATAAAATAACTTAGCTACTAATAAGCTTATTAGTTTAAATACCTATTCTGTTTTAATTTTAAGATTACTTATTATTCTAGTTAAGATAGAGAGAAACTAGATGCTTTTATAAAGTAATCCTAAGACGTCTTTACTTAAAAAGAAGTGTAAAAGGCTTAACACTAAACTCTACTTTAACCTAAGCTATTTTTAGACCTTAACTTAAATAAAATAAATTAAATAATTAATTAGATTATTACTAATAAGTATCTAAATAATAAATTTATCTAAGAAACTTTAGACCTACTCTAAAATAGCACTAGTTAGTTAAAGAAGGTAACACTAGCTAACTATAAAAACTAAAATAGTAAGCTGTATTACTGTAACTAACTTATAATTTTTAATTTTAATAAACTAAGAATTAAACTACTTTAAATTGTACATAACTTGCCTGTTAGAGAACACCTAGGCAGAGGAAAGACTCTTAACCTACTATAGAGAGAGTACTACTAGCCCTGCATGTTCTATACTGTACGCTAATACGTATTATGTTGCTATACTTGCTGTAAAGTAAAGGCCTCTTAAAAAAAGTATAATAGCCTGCTTAAACTACTTCTAATCTTTAAATAAGCTTAGAAAGACATATTAATTAATTTTATTATAAACCTACCTCTATCTAAAAAGTATATAAATATTATAGTAGTTATTAATTACTTAACTAAGTATTAACACTTAATACTATGTTCCTCTATAACTGCCCTTAATATAGCCTAGTTATTCTACTAATACGTATAAGTTTACTATAGCCTGCCTAACATAATTATATTAGACAGAGGTACGCAGTTTGTCTTAGCCTTCTAGGACAAACTCTGTAAACAGCTCTAAATTGTTCTCTATTTATCTATAGCTTTTTACCTAGAGACTAACAGCTAGACTAAGAACATAAACACTGTAATAAAATAAGTCCTATAAGTGTACATAAACTACTAGTAGGATAACTAGGTAAAATAGTTAGCTATAGCATAGTTTAAAGCTAATAACATAACATCTAAATTAACATAAGTATCTCTATTCTTAGTAAACTATAAATACTACCTCTAAATAAAATTTAAACTACTTATAAATACTCTCTAACTAACTTATTAATCTATATAAGTAATAAATGTAAATAAACTTATTAATAAGATCTAAAACATATCTAAATATGTTTATAAAAAGCTTATATAGGCTTAAGCTTTTTAACAAGAGTACGTAAACTAATCCTAAACTCTTGCCCCTGTGTATACAGCTAGTAAGAAGGTCTAGCTAGATGCTAGAAATATTTAAATAAACTAATAATTAAAGAAACTTAATTAAAAAAACTTTAGCCTTTTTATAGTAGCTTATATAGTCTTATTACACACTTACTAATTAATCCTACCTAACAGCATAAAGATACACCCTGTGTTCTATGTATTGTTGCTGCACTAAGTAGCCTCTAAATCTAACTATCTACCTAGACAGCTAAACCTGCTACCTAAACCTATTATTATAAATAATAAACTAGAATATGTTATAAAAGATGTTAAATAGATCTAGTTTAATAAGAAAAAACATATCTATAAATACTTTATAAAATAGACTAGATATAATAAACTGTTGTAGGAACCTACAGAAGCTTTATAAGAGAACTCTATAGTAACCTAATTCTACACTTAATACCTATCTAAACTAAACCTGTACCCTAATAAAGACAACCTAATGCTAGAACTACTAATGTAAAGAATTCCCTTTCTAATAAGAGAGGGGGTACTGTTACAGTATCCTTCCTAGATTCTAGACATAACTATATTAGACGTGTACTAGAGTATTATTAGTGCACGTCTAACATAAACATAATATAACATAGACATAAACTTAAGTATAAACTGCCTTAACACTAACTAAACTTAGAATAAGCTTAATTTATACTTAAAGCGCTTAGACTTTTAAGCTAAGTATTTAATTACTAATTTCTTTCTAAACTTTTTTATTCTTTACACAACGTCTTATACTTACTATAATACCTCACGTAGTAATTAAACTAGACCTCTGTAAAGCTCTATAACCTATCTCCCTGCGACTGCTGCGGATCAGGCCTTGTTCGTCTCGATTGGGCATCGCGCTGGATCCGACCCCCTTTTCGCTCCTCTTTTTGGCCTAGATCGCTGGACTTGACCATGGCGCCACCTATCTCCGATATATGGCCACGGATAATAGTAGGCAAACTTTTAGGCTTTAACCTAAACTTGCCCCCGCCAGTGTTTTTTTTTGCAAAAATGTACAGATGTGGTGGTGTTTTGCCGCAACCCTAACTGCGCGGTGGATTTTGATTTTCCTGCGCACGCAGGCATCGCGCGCACATTGCCGCACCAGCTACCAGCGCCCCGCCCGCAGACCACCACCTAACCCAGCAACCACAACAACAACCATGACCGACAACACAGCTCTCTACTTCCTAGCTGGGCTCATGGCATTAATTCTCTAGCGCAGCGACAGCGCTGTTGATTTTATTATTCGTTTTGCTAGGAAACGCGCGCAGGCTCTGCAGTTCGCGCCCTAGCGACAAGCCTGCGCCCGCAGACCACGACAATAAAACCACGACAACCACAACAATCACTAACACAATAGGTTTCTCCACCTTCTAGCTGTGCCTAGGACATTAATACCTTAACCTAGCGACTGCGCAGTAGATTTTGATTTTCCTTTGCAGCGACGCGCGCACAGACTCTGCAGTTCGCACAGCAGC